CGTCCAAGACCCCAAAACGGCAAAAGCGCACAGCAGCGCTTCCCTGCATTCTGACCATCCTGCACCGCGAGCCCTGCCTCCCAGTCTCACTGCCCAGCAGCTGGTTGGCGGTTTCCCGGCAGCCATGACGGCGACGCGATTCCGCCAGGTCGAAAGCTGGCGCTTTTTGATCGCCCAGTGGCTCGCTTTCGGCGACCTCTGGCTCTCGAGGTGGTACCTCGAGAAGTCTGACTGCCCTCCAGGCTACTGGAGTTTTGGGCTTACGGTAGTATTGCCGTTCAGCGACGAGGACGCGCCGTGGCTGCATCACCAGCGAGATCATGGGGAAGACTCTCTGAGGTATCGGCTGCAAGAGGAGGCGCGCGAGGCGTACTGCCGCACCGTGTCAACGCAATTGACGTCAGGACATCTGCCTGGACCTGGGGAGAAGCCGGACTGGAACCCTGACTACAAGCCCGAGGCCGTGTACCGCCCCTGGGCACTCCAGGTGTATCCCCATCCGCATCGGCCGTACACCGGCATGGGTACGCAGGCGTTCCGGCAACGCATCGCGGCGATGATTGAGCGTGAAGGTGGACGGATCCAGGCCTGGCGCGGTGTGGAGATCAATTTTTACTATCGCCAGGTACATATGAGCCTTGACATCAGTGTACCGCACTCCGATGAGCGCTGCTGGCGCATGGAGGGTGGAGGCGTCACCCGCCGTGAGTACGCGGCCACGCATCCGTCCAGCGCGTCTGAAGTATTCGTCCGTGATCGGAAGGAGTTCGGTGTGCAAACGGAACCCAATGCGGCCGTACTGCCCTCCGCCGCCTTCGCGGAAGCCAGCGCGCTCGTGGCTCGACGCCTCAATGCGGGCAAGCCGCCGTACACGGCCGTGGAGTTGCGCGCAGAGGAGCGGGCCTGGCGGAGGGCCATCCGACGTCAGCGACGCGAGGCGAGGCGACAGGGGCAGGTCCACGATGACGTCATGGAAGAAGCGCCCGCTGGTGGACCACCCGCTGTACCGGCAACCCTCGGCACGACCGCGATGACGACACCAACCCTGCCACCCGGTTTTGATGGGACACGCAGCGAGGACGCGGTGACGCCATCACTCCCGCCGGGATTCGGCGGTTGATGGGCGCGGATTACGGGAAGAGGGGAGACAAGCTGGCAGTCGTGACGTGACGGTGTCCGGGCTGGCGGATGACGAGACGGAGGGTAGCCACCGGAAGCCAGCTGGCGAGGATGGAGTTGTCCGAGGGTTTCCTTGGCGGAGAATGATCTCTGGGGTGTCCTGGCTGGCGTGTGACCGGACGGGACGGATTGTACCGGAAACTTGCTGTGATTGGGTCGTGTCGTGTCCAGTTGGATGAGTGAACGGGGAGGCATGACGAGAAGGAGTGAACGCATGGTTGCCGGTTGTACCCGAAAGACAGTTCTGTAATAAATAGCCGCGGGGAGTCTGTCCTGACAGCTCTCCGGCAGGCCCCTGTGTGACAAAGAGTGTCCCAGCCGCCTGTACCTCCCCGCCGTCGCACCACAGCCCCCCGCCAGGCTCGGCCACCGCTGGCCTTGCCCCCTCACGTTACCCGAGAGTACGTGAGCCGGCCTAAGGAGCCTCGGGGCCCTGTGGTGTACCGCGCACTCACGCCGAGTGCTGGTGAGACGTTTGTGGGATCCGGAGTGACTGAGGGCGGCGCATTACGCAAGGCGGGCGCCGTCGCTGGTGCTGGAGTGCCGTAGCACCCTACGGGAGTGCGGATCGGCCGGTACGCGCAACGAGTGGACGCGGGGAGGACGTTGCGTCGTACGGAACTGGTGGAGACCTCTGCGGTGAGGTGCGCGATGACTATGAGCTTTCCAGGATCGCCCATGGAAGGGGCTGCCGTCATGGCGGCGTTGGCTGGCGCTGTCGGACGAGGTGTGAGGTTCCTGGGCGCTGGCATCCAGTGGATTGGGGAATTCTTGGTGACCCTACTCGGGTGGCTGGCCTGGATGCTGAATATTGATGAAACGAAAACGAATTCCATTATAGGAGCGGTCAGAATGGTTTACAATGGCCTGGCCCTCCTCATTTTGTTCAACATGACTGCCGCCATTTTCTGCGCAATGGGGCAACTTCTGCACTGAGATGACCTGCTTGATGGGCCTTTTGCACTGGCTGTCAGCGTCTGTTCCACAGGAAGTCAATTTAATGATCTGATCGCTCTCATCATAATGGCGAAATGGCAATATCATAAAGATGTGTGAGGTATGGCACAGCTGCCTTGAAGTTGAAAAGTTGACACAGAACCAGAACTGAGAAGACAATGGCTGCCAGAAATTTTCTCTGAATAAATGAAAGCGACCACTAGAAATTTTATCCCTGCAATGTTGTCATCAGGCAGCAACATCGATGACCTGCACTGTCAATACCAGCCACAAAATATCTGTGCAAATTGAGAGCCCAGCAACAAAAGACACAGCAAATTGAATGCCAAGCAGAACTTCTAGCCAGTGCAGTTGTCCCAGCATTTAACGTTCAATAGTCCTTCACACACGGCAAATTTGATCAAGCTATGGTCTTAACGCAAATAGCACAAGATGCACACCCGTTCAGTCAAACAGAATTTCTTTCCCTTTTGGAGGGTTTATGTTCAACAGCAATTTGTCAAACTGATCACATTGAGCATGAGATCTCCACATGCTCTTAGATGTAATTTCGCATTATGGACATCCTGGCAATACCAGGGTTAATGGACCTCATCTGCAGGCTGAGAAGGGGGACTCCAATCTGCCGGCAGCTGCTGCAAGAACTTGCTGATCTCCTCCACTGTTCGTCGTTCGGAAGGCTCGATGGAGATACACTGCTGCAAGAATGGCCGCATGCCCTTAGGGCCATGTTTTGGACCCAGTGAGGATGGCCCTACCTGTTCATACGTCTTCCTGTACATCAACGTTTCTTGTAGCTTACAGACCCGTGGCCGCTTGTTTATTCAATAGGGGCGCTCCCTTGTCGTGATTTCGTATATGAGGACTCCCAAGCTGTAGGCATCCGAAAATGTGGAGGCGGGCTTCCTCAAAGGTAATTCTGTGGCCGTCCATGCTGAGGTTCCCTGCCCTGGTCTTACAGTCTTGCTTCTACTTTTGCCCGCTTCAACTGCAAACCCGAATTCGGATCCGTCGTTTGAAAGAACGAATGAGTGAATTTCCTTGTCGATTCGGTGGGTCAGTCTTACATGCTGTCCGTGGTATGGAGCCAAGGAGCTCACTTGCCTTATGGGTTAATGCTGTCGTTGAAGAGATACACCCTGATACGATGCACTCAGCCGATGAAGCCGCTGTCGAGGATATGAACACCAGTCCTGGGACAATACTACAATAAGAGCAAGGCGCTCTGCTATCTGCCATCTTAGGGCTGTTCGTGAAGAACAGGCTTTGTTTTTACATTAACATTTAGATTTTTGCGTTTACGTTTTTACATGTAGGAACGTAAATTTGCGAAAGGGCCTATTTTTGCGGCTATCTTTACGTTTTTGAGGCTCCCTGGGACACCCAGGTTACACCATGAAGGTCGCGTACAATGATCAGTCTTCTGCCATCTCCAGCACCTGCAAGACAATGTCCACCTCGCCGTTGGTGAGGGCGATGATGGCTTGTAACAAATACTCGTTTTCTGCCCCTTCCACAACGTCTGGCTGCCATTCCGCGAGCCCGGTAAGTCTGCATGTACTTTTCTTATGTACATGGGGCTGTATTTACATTGTATTTACGTACTTTTACGCATTCTTACGCGTGAAAACATAAAACCATTTCACGCTAAAAACATAACTACGATCAGTTTTTACGGCGTAACAACCAAGCCTGGTTGAGAATTCCGAACTTACTTTCACCAGCAGAAAACAGCCTGTTTGCGATGCCAATTGCGATGCCATTTGACACAAATTGATGCCATCGCAGCCGCTTTTATGCCATCGCAATCATTTTGACGGCATCATTTTGTGTCGCAATGACATCACAGTCATCGCCAACATGCCGTTTTCTCCCAGTGTTGGAACAGCAATTCTGCACCATCGCAAGCTGCATCACTACTGTTGGAAAAGTTGCATATGGCGACCATATCATATTCTCGATACCCAGGATATGGTGCCCTCCATATCCTATTCCACATCCAGGGTATGCCACCTTTGGCCCAGGATTGTGTATGCTTCGAAAGAATAGACTAGCTCGTTGACAATTGCTGCCACTGCTTAATTGTGAATGAAGTGTAGATTTCCTTGGGAAGAATTATGTTTACACCTGAAAGCAAACAACTTTCTCATTACTGTGTAGCAGCTGAATGAGCTTGTGACTATCTGGGGCCACATCTCAAATTTCCAAACATGATCCTTTGATGATGGCCTACAGTGCAAGCGAGGTTCCTTCCCCTCTACCGAATTGCTTTCATATTTTTGAATGTGCATATTTCCGCTCAGTGCGCACGAATGATTGCAAAACATACTCTCGCACGTGAGAAACATTGTTGTTCACTTTTTTCACTGGCGCACACAATTGCTGATCCGAAGCCCCGCAGCATGGAAGACAATCCATGCTTGCAGTTTCTGCATTTGCAAATGTCGAGGCGCTGGCATGAAAAGGACTCTGCCCATTCATTTTCGTATGGTGGGTTGTTTTCAAGATCTGGCCAAGCATTAAACGAAGGGAAAGAACGAATTCAATACGGCGTGCACGAGGCTGCAATCGAGGGATAGACCGATGCAACCCATCAACCTCCGCTTCCATCTCGACCAGAAGCTGCCGTTTTCCGTGTTCCTGCCCAGGGGGCTTCGCTGTCTATGGCACTAAGCCGCTCCGCTTTCTCAGGCAACGCACCGACCGCCTTGAGCGCAGACATTTGAACAGGGTTTCACTATGTATGGAAGAATACGACAACTTCTCATTGGAGAAGAATACACCATGCCCATACTCCATAGACGACACTAAAGCGTTGAGTCCTACTGTCTCTGTGCTGAGCGATAACTATTTACCCACTCTAGTCATTCGACCCGCGGCTTGAATCTGCGGCTCAACACGTTCCTGCCCCTGAGGTAGTGGTGCAGGTTGCTCTTCCTGTACTGGCCCGCGGCCAGGCCCTCCAGGTAGTGCGCGTTGAGCATGTGGCCGTACTTGCCGCCCTGCACGATGACGGGCCCCTCGATCCTGATGGGCTTGCCGTTGAGGTCCTGCCAGTCCTGGTAGGGGCACAGGGGGCCCAGCATGGCCACAGTGTCCATCTCGTTGACCAGGGTCTCCATGTAGGCTGCGTCTCCACGCTCCATCTGGCGCAGTTGCGGCCCACTTGCTTTAGCTAATCAGATTACCTAACTATTTGAGTACAGTAACTATGATAATCTAAGTATAATAAGGACAGTAATGTGAGTATCTGTGTACCGTACACAGACACTCAGATGCCCAGATGGCTGTTGCAGCCATCAACACAACACAACACAGTAGTGTACTGCAGCTCTGAGGATCATTGCACAAACACGCGATGATCGCAATTGTGTACATTTACTGATTGGATGCATCACGTCATGTATTTCGATGTTTACATGATTGCACAAGTGCATCAACAATTATGTATCGCTCCATGGTCGCATCGGCGCGATCCATCTGGCGAAAGCAATGCAGCTCCTTCAGTCAACAGCATTTGCGTTAATGACTGTAGATTTGTGGAATATTCGTGTTATGTTGCACAAATCATACATAACTGTTACACCCAATTAACGTCAATAGAAACGCTTTTTGTCCTCTCGCTAACGATGATCGCATTGTACTGTGTGGTAATTCTGGTTACAACCGCACAATTATACAATATTCACATTGTGTCTGTTTATGCATTAAACGTACTGTATTATGCACTGTATGCGCTACTTAATTGGATGTCAGGCTGCACCTGGTGGGCGCAGTTGGCGAAGGCGTACACCTCCAGCTTGCCCAAGTGGGATGCAGACAGCTCGGGGTCGGCATTCAGCTCGTACAGCACGTCGCTGGCGATGATAGTGCCCTACGAGTGGCACGACGCCGGAAACTTTCAGCACCAAGATGTGATCAAATCGCGAGCACGAGATGCACAAAGGTACACAAAGGCAAATTAAAAACTACAAATACAGAACTAAATTACGGAATTAGCGTGCGACACTGATTCGAAATTGTGCCTGTGCGGATGAGATTGTTCGACGATCTGATCGACGACACGTGCGTCGCCACACCGTTCCGAAACATCTTCAGCGCCGCACTGCAGCGATCCCACATTTGCGAACAACGGGGACAGGCGTCGGAGCTGCTGTGGCAGATTCGCGTTGTGGGCGATGGAGACCACGCCTTTCACATGTTATATGTTATCAGCCGCACAGTTGATTGCGCAAGCAGTTTGGGCACCCATACAAAGGCGGATAGTCAAAAAAACACAGACACATCTTTTGGACCCATCATCCATTGAGCATTATGGACAGTTTGGACACAGGGGCCAAGGGTCTGGGCACTTTGGATGGTTTGGACGCGTGCGTCCACCCAACGTTGGAAATACCTTTCAGTGACCGAACAACATTTCATGCAACCAATGCATAGTGCGACTATAATGACCTATTGGTCCCTATTTGCGCGTCTGAGTGATCAAGGAAACTGGCAACAAAGAAACACCCATTAAAAACCTTGTTTCAGAGCATTAAGAAACTTCCCGCTGGGAGAATCCCGCCGATTTCTGCAATTCGCCCCGGCAGGGCGACGGTGGCTCACCTGAGAGTGCGCGATAAAGACGACCTTCAGGATGGAACGTTTCAGTAGCGCCTTCTTGAGCTCGGCCGTCGCGACACGCCGCGGTTCAATCGCCCAGTCGTCCCATATTGTTCCGAGGGTGCACTCCAGCAAGTCGAGCACTGCAGAGTCGGTCGGATTGTGGATGATGTTCACCTGCACGGCAGGCCACGGAAACGGTACATTCGCGCGGTCCAAAGTGTCGCAGGCTGGCTTTGATGCGATTTGGAGACTGAATGCAAACTGTACTTAGGTTTCAGGGTTTTGCTGATCTGCGGTGAGGGGCACATTCGTTTGCGCGCTATCACTGCTGCAGCACAGTGCACGTTGCAGTGGTAATTGTTGTTTTTGTTGCGTCAACTTATGCCGATTCAACTCACATACAGTTCGTTTCACTAGACCTGTTTAGCACATTCAAAAACTGCCAGCTTAAATCCAATACACAGCTAGCCACACGCTACAGCCGTATATCGCTGCTCAGGAGCTTCATGTCGCTTCGTCGCGATGCAAGCAAAGGATCCAAGGCACCATGCTACATTTCCCGCACATCTGTCAGTATGTTTTGTCCCTGATTTTTCCTCTGATTTGTCTATTGATTCTCTGCAGACTATCTGCACATTCTTCGACGCAGTGCACCCCTTCCATGAGTGCACTTCTGGACGACACCACCATCTTCCCAGCGCCCCTGCATTCCTGCATTCTACATGCATCGCACCCGTGCAGTGCATTCATGCATCGCACTTGCCTTGTGCTGTCTCGCGGTCATTGCTGAACCTCGTCAACATTGATGTGGAAAATATGGAATTCAAGCATCGTCATTTCTGGTTTTAACAAGCTTCCCTATGCACTGTACTGTCAAAAGTACGCAGACAAATACTACCCCCAGCACATGTGCTACCTGCAGTAAGCATGCACATTTATACATGCATCACAATTTTATCCTCAGAAAAAGCCTGCATATCCTGAATACATTCATATCGAATATGATGGATGGATTCCATCGACCACATCCAGCAAACATGGAGGGCCAGATACTGGATACGAGGCAGTGCCCTGTGACTGTCATCTACATCCACCACATGTGGTGGATGTAAATGACATAAGGCCATGTACCTGGCCATATCCTCACATACAATTATTCACACACATGCAGGCTGCGCCATCCCTGAACCCCAAGATGTCAGCCATAGAATATGGCGTTGTTGCAGTGCTGATGGCCAGGCTATCTGGCACTATTCAGTGTTAATGTCAATGTCAATCAATTGCAGTTGCTGCCATCTCAGCCACTGTGGTAGCATCACTTAGTGTCCAAATGACGTTGCAGCTGCATCGCAGATGTGGAGCCTTCCGCCAGCGTACGGGGAAGGATATGGCACCCCATATCACATTCCATATCTAGGACATGTGATTTCTTTGTCCCCAGACTTCATTCCGGTGATAGGCACAATGTCCTGCAGCACACCTGCTCCGTTGCCCACCTTCCGCTCAAACAGCTCCTGGAGCATCATTGCGTTCGTCTTAGCGATATCCAGCGTCGTCGCCACACCGTTCAGGAAGAACCAAACCTCTGCATCGTTCCCATACTCCTCGGCCCAGTCTGCGGGATACACAGTGGAATCCTCGCCAAAGATGGCTTGTGCCAGCAGCGGAGAGGCCCGCCTGAGCCAGAACGGCGGCCTATAGGGGAGGGTGGGCACCAGCATGTACCACACAGTCGCGATGAACTGGCGGACAGGGTGCGTCTTGCTGATTTGGTGCAGACTGCAGCTCGCATGGAAACACGCAGTCAGATAGTCGATTAGCCAATCAGCAGCCAATTATCCACCGATCGTTTGATCAAGCAAGCTGTCAGCTGATGTATAAGTTTGTCCAACGCAACAGGGAGAATGGCTGCCTTTTGCCACTGGATTCTACTAAAACCGGAGGTGTATGAGTGCTGCACTGGGTGTTGCTGGCTGCACGGGTTGCAAACAAATGATCAGGTCTTGGTTTGTCTCATGACAGATGATTACAGATGCAACATGTGAATTTCGGCATTTCACCAGGTGACAATTCTGAACAGGATATTCGCAGTATGGGCAGACTCTACAGTTGCCAATCAATCAACCAGCCAATCAATCAATCAATCAATCAGCCCATCGGTAGGTAGGTCGTTCTGCAGTTCAGCAAGTCTGTGAGTCGATGTGAACATGCTGGGTTCGCATTAGTCTATCAGATTGGGCGGTATGGAGCGCACAAACTATGGAACCTTTTTTCTTCAAAGCGTGCAAAAACATCAAGTACTAAGTCTTGGTGCATAACGCTAAGTACTGCCTCTCTTAGTACTACAACCACTTTCTGTTGATGGGTTTAGGCTGTCATTTGAGGACCGAGCCAAACTACATGGACAACTACGGTGACATTGAAACCAGGACTGAGAACAAGAATGAAAACGCAATTCAAGGAACATTTCTTTGGTCAAAACATACATATCAAATTTACAATGACATACATGCAGTACAGGGTTGGGGGAAAACTGACAGGGGTACTGTTTTAATGTCAGATCTGCATGGCCCACCTGTTGTATGTTTTGATGAGGGCGGGCTGCCAGTCATTTGGCTTGCCCAGGATGCCCAGCACAGCACCCGGTATCCCCAGCACAACGCCGCCGTGGGTCAGCATGATGCGAAACAGGATGTACAGGATTCCCCGCAGTGCCGCTGAGAAGCCTACCGTCGTGGTGGCAGAGCCCATGTGCGCCCGGTGCGGCATTATGACAATAACAACCTCCTTGGCCAAGATGAGGTACCCGCTGGTCTTTCAGACAAGCTCCAGAAACTTGTTATTGATGGCATACAGGCTGTTGCAGACACAACAAAGCACCAATGAAACGGTCGCTGGCAGCAAACAGGCCCTTTTGAACAATTCTGCTTCGTGCTTCACAATGAGTGGGATCACTGATTATTGTGTATCAGCAAGCTAGACTAGCTAAAACAAACGAATCTTGTCTTCCACTACTGTGCTTCCAGTGCTATTTTACCAACACCTCGTGCCCATAGTCAGCCCAAGCACAGTGCAAGGATAGGGGCATGCCACATTCCGATCAGAAAGTTGTCTTGATCAATGAAACCATTGGATACATCACGTTCATTACAGGGCAAGTTTCCAGTTCAGGGATATCTACCACAATACCGACTGTGTAGTAACACTTTGTTGTTGTCTTTGCACACACGTTGCAGTAAAGGGGGTCGGGCACCAGCAATATGTTGCGTGGTGCGCTCTGTTGCAGCTCGTCTTCTTACTCTGACAGACTTCCACCTTTGCAAGT